ACCCATTTCTCCAGCTTCTGACTCATTTTAGAGGTGTGTCTTCCATATAACTCAGCCTAGCCTAGGTTTTGCTGCACGGGCCAGGATGGATTTAGGCTGGTAATCCCCCTGCCTCATGTTTCCTAGTTCTGGGATTTCAGGTGTGTACCACAGCGTGCAGTCTTGGATCACCATGTTATTTTAATATCTTAGCTGTTCTTTTCCTTCTTACACCTGGAGTCACTCTGACTAGAGTGAGGCGGGGGACACGGTATAAATTGAAGGACCTAATTCAGTCTTAGGGGCAGGCAAGTGCAGGCTGGTACCCAAAGGTGAAGTGCCCATCAGTTCTCCATCTTGGGTACCCTACTTTAAAATAATTCCCTATCTTAAAAAAAAAAAAGATTTTTATGCCAGCAGGTGGTGGTGCACGCCTTTAATCCCAGCACTCAGGAGGCAGAGGCAGGAGAATCTCTGTGAGTTCGAGGCCAGCCTGGCTTACAAGAGCTAGTTCTAGGACAGTTAGGGCTGTTACACGGACTTTTACTCTGTCTCGACTCTAAAAGATTTTATTTTAAATTATGTGTGTTTGTGTGTCTGAGTATGGGTTTGTACCGATGAATGCAGTACACATGAAGGTCAGAAGAGGGCGCCAGGCACCTAGAGCTGGAATTACAGGAGGTTGTGAGCTGCCCAGCTCTGGGAATCAACTCTGGTTTTCTGCAAGAGCAATCTGCTTCTGATGGCCGAGTCTGATGGAGGTGGGTCTTGTAATAATAAAGAAACTGCCTCGGCCCTCATAGGACAGAAAAGTAGGTAGGCAGAGTAGACAGAAGAGAATTCTGGGAAAAAGAAGCTGAGTAAGAGTCGCCATGATGCTCCCACTCCAGACAGACGCAGGTTAAGATCCTCTCTGGTAAGCCAACTCATGGGCTACACAGAATATTAGAGATGGGTTAGAACAATATGTAAGAGCCAATAAGAAACTGGACCTAGCCGGGCCAGGCAGTGTTTGAAAGAATACAGTTTCCATGTAATTATTTCGGGCATAAGCTAGCCATGCGGG